AGCTCATAAGTGTGTAAAGGTTAAGCACGAGATCCCCTCGACACTGTACTGTGTGCTTGTGCTTACCACTGATTTATGCAATACAAGTAGCCTTTTGCTAATTCGTGTGCCTTCTTGTTGCCTTTGTGTGTGTGTTTGCTTTGTTTCGTAGGCTTACTTGCCCATTTCGAGTGCCGCACGGGGCCCCAACGATTATCCCCGTGACAAAGTGGCATCTAAGCTACTGGGTCATCTTCCACGGTTGTAGGTCGGCTGTCCTATGGGTGATAGCTACAGTTTGGAAATACCAAAGGGGTTTTTATTGTTCACTCCACCCCAACAAATTTTAGTTGCACTGTATAATAGGGGTAGGTGTCAGTTTGGAATTGATGCCAATACATGGGTGGATATTAGTGTTATAGGTGGAGGTATTTAAAAATTTGAATTATTGTAGGTCTGTAGTGGAATTTAGAATTCTGAGATATACAATGTAGTTTTTACAATACCAAAATCTACCTTACACGAGAACTTCTCGTTATATGCAAATTGAAAGGTGTAATACATGTGTTATGTTTTCCCCCCTATGGGTAAATGTAGACTCATTATCTTAGGCCATGAACCCTAAATCAAGACCTATGGCAAAGAGAGTCATTATGGACGATTCAGGTTGTAATCGACACCAATGTTTAAAAAAAATGATCTGGATCTGGAACTGTTTTGGCCGTTGGTTTTCAGGTCAATGGTTTGATCGTCTGGTTCGAACAAGCGGCTTGTTCTGACAAAAATTTTAAAAAACTAAAAAAATAATTAAAATAAAAAATGATCAAAATCGTTGAATGCGTCAACAATTCAACCACTCGAGTCAATGGGTTGTTGACTGATTCAACGATTTTGGGCAGGGACTGGGTTTGAGGTAAAATGGAACCAACTGCTTAGACAATTTCCAGACAGAATGATCCAAACATCCGGATCAATGACAGTTCAAAAACCATGATTGGTACCATTGTCACTTCAGCATCAAATGTTTCGAGTCAATTGCATTTCATATCAATATCAATATAGGCGTATGCTGATCGGTCATTGAACAAGTATTTTGAGCAGTATTGTGTTTGATATTTACTACCTAAAATGTTGAAATGAAATATCTGTATTCATTGTAACACCACTCTTTGACTCCCATCCAATGGTTAAATTTAAAAATATAATATTTTCTGATTACTGTCTCATTATTATACATATATTAACATCTAGATGCAAATTTGATGGTTCTAGAAGCATGAAACCAATAAAAGAACCTATGTTTTAGATGTATGTAAATTAATATCTAGGTGACTGTGCTTGTAGACTATGTGAAGAGTTTTTTGCTTGCAGGAAATCCTGTTGAAAGTTTTATAGGAATTTGATAGCATTCCCATTTTTGCTAGTAGGCAATGCACTAGAATATATCTTTACATTATGGCATAAGATGCTAAAAGCCAGGTCATTAGACCAAAACAAACATAAAGTTGATGTTAAACACAAGACACCCCTGAGTGCACTGGTTTGAGTGTTTCACCTATAAATAGCCATGAACCAAACATCACCTCGTAGATCCTACCTAAAAGGTGGTCACAGTTTTTTTTTTTTTTTTTGATCTATGATCTGCATAAATCTTTTCCTAGTTGCAGTGGTTGTTTTTCAAGCTTCTAAATGCAAGGAATTGCAGAAAAATGTGTAGCTTCAAGAAGGATGGTTCTGCAGCTTTTATAGCAGTGATCAGGAATCATTTTGACTTGGTTCAGGCTATTTTTTTTGGTCCATGTTCCATATATTCTCCATTTCAAGCAGAAGCTATGGCTGCTCTAAAAGGACTACACTTAGCCAAGCATTTTTGTTTCAGGGACTTTTGTGCTGGAAAGTGATGATTTGAGCCTTATAAAATGGCCGAGGGACCAAGACCTTGCTTCAACTCGAGACCTTTTTCTGCAAAGACAACTTAGCTCTTTGCGAGGGTCTTACTTTCTCTTTTGTTAAGAGAGATGGAAATTACTCTCTTTTTGTTAAGAGTGATGGAAATGAATTGGCACACAGGCTAGTTCGTAAAGGTTTAAAAGAATCGGGCATTTTCATAGATGCTATGCTGGTCTGGCTGGCAAATTGGGTGGATCCCAACTCTATTTGTTTGTCATCTTTTTCTCAGTTCAATGAAACTTAGTTTATTTTACTGAAAAAAAAAAAGAATTGCCGTGCTCTCCGGCAAGTAAAAATTCTCTGAATAAGTTGAAAACATCATTCCATGAATTTAACATGTACGAGATATTCTCAATGTGCGATTAAATGCTATGTATGAATCATTTTTACTTGCAGGAGATTCCAGCATCCACTGTTCGATATTAGAAAACGCAACATCAACATGACCGTACAAAGTTCAAATGAACACCAAAAGCAGGTTTTTTAGTGGGCAACCCATCTTTTAGCCCTGCGCTGAAACAAATTAATCAAAACCTTGTTTCAATGGCCCCATCTAAGACTTTTTGGTGGGGCCATTGAAATTGAATACACCTAAGGCCATAATTAAGAGGGTGCCAATGGACCAGATTTGGACTGGACCCTTTTCATTCCAAATCAATTTGAACGTATTGGAAGGACCAATAAGACATTGGATTGGACTAATCCGGTCCAAACCAAAATATTTTTTAGATTGGATTGAATCATTGGACCTGATCCATCCGTAATAAATTTATATTAGATTGGATTGGATTAAACCAATATCTGCTCCATTGATATGAGATAAGAATATAGGTGTCAATAGATCAGGTTTGCGTTGAAACCAATCTAAATTAAAACAACTTTAAACAGATTGAATGGTCCAAACCAACCTTAAACAGATTGAATGGTCCAAACATTGAATTGGACTGACCCAAAATGGTCCAAAATATTCATTGGATTGGATTGAACTGGAACTGGTCGATTTGTAATGGACTCACATTAAACAGGATCGGATTGGACCAAATCCAGTCCAATTGACACCTGTAGCCATGATTTTCTGTTTTAGCCCTGGGCTAAGGTAAGGTCATGGATATACTGCAGTGGCCCCACCAAGAAGTCACTTCATCTAATTCAAGATGGGGCCACGACAACAAATCAAAAGCTTTGATTTAATTGTTTCAGAGCAAGGCTATGACACTAATAACAAATGCGGGTCAAAACCATTAAGATGGTGCAACGCAGCTCCACCATAATGTGGAACCCAACCTGTCTCAAAAAGCCTCTTTTTTTTTTTACAAAATTCAAGCAAGCATAAGCAACAAGAAGAATAGTTGGACATGTCCAACAAGYATGGTTCACAATAATACCAGAAGAAGTTCAACAAATATAGTTCACATGTTTTTCATCACCAGAAATTTATTTCCCTCAAAACCAAAACCAAGAAAGTATGCTTGATTTGCATCTTAAATATCATTTGTTGAAATTAAAAGGACTGACGAAACCAAATATTGTTAAAGCATCAACATGATCGGATGCAGAAAACGTTACTCTTCTGCAACAACACTAATTTCACCTTTCTCTAGCATGTCATAAAATGCTCTTACTTTCCTCTGCTCATTCCAGTGATGCATTTTCCACATTCCGCCTGCTAGTAAACCAAGAGTGATCCCAATGCATATCTCCTTCACCACACTAGGTCCTTTCAAGGTAGCATGAGCAATTTTATGGGCCGCCATCTGCTTCTGAACTGCAAGTAATCCCTATAGTTAACAAAATGAACGTTGTAATTTTACAGAATAATATGATAGATCATACAAATACTACCAAGGCCATTTTGTTTATCATGCAGATGATTTTTTGTTCTCACTTTTTCAGATTGGTGTGCAGGAGAAGTTTGTTAAAGATAACTTTCTACATTTCCTAGTGCAAAAGCTACTACCCATTTCTATTCTTGTCCCCCCCTCCCCCCCTTGAGGCCAGCCATTGCCTGATACAATGGTAAGCCTAAGGCTGTTTGAAGAGGTGAGTGGAGTTTACAAAGAAATCAGGGATCATCCTGTGAGGAAGGTGACCAGGTGAAGGAAACCAACAAGGGTGAGAAAAGCGTTAGAATTTGTGGGCAAAGAATAAGCCTCTTTAACTGCAAACGTAATACAAATACAAAATGAAGATATAAAAAAAGACTATATTTACTTATTTGTTTTTAACTTTTAACTGTTTAGTCATATGTAAGCTTATGCAGWAATGCCATGGTCACTTTTTCAGTAAATGATAGGGGAATAAAATTGATCATAGGCATTTCTAGAGAAAGGAACTAGTTTGAAGCCCTAACCTTGTTTGTGCTAGTACCCAATCTTTCAATAAAATGAATAATCTTTTTTTTTCATTCAGTCGGTTCAGTAAAAAAAATGTTGCTGGTTAGACATACATAGATACATAATCAGCTACTCATATTTCATACATGCACCATAGAATAGACCTAACCAGTGTTTGTCAAAAAATGGCTCACACATAAACAGCTCATTTTATTCTTCTGTTAAACAAATACTAGCTTTTGGATCAGAAAGTTAGACCTGTAATTTGTTGAAAATATAATGAAGATGCTTGATCAGTTAAAACTTAGATCCAGTATGTGTAAAAAAAAAGGCCATTACCCAATATCGAAGGGCCTACAAAAGCTGGAAAGCTGTATTGTTATATTGTATTAAGTTAGCAGATTAATTGTAAATTCCTTTTATGCCATGTTATGTCTCAAGGTTTCTTAAGGCCCAACTGCCTTGCCACCCACCTTTGCTATTTAAATCTTGGTAATAACTGAACCAAATTAAAGACCATATAAAAGGGCAACTCTTTAATTAGGAAAGTTAATGGGACTATTAGTTGGTGCAATAATATATTTCATTATTTTTCAACTCCTCATCCTATCAAGAATTCTCTGAAGATCTCCTCTATTGGGAAAACTAATCCCCCTGTTACTGGTTTCAGAATCAAATGTGACGTTGGGCTTAAAGGAGGTAAAATTGAAAGTGTTGTTTGTTACAATATGACTATTCTTTCTTTYCTGCAGCAGGAGGTTTTTTGGTCCAATGGGGAGATATTGAAGCAGAGCTTAAGGCTATTTGCCTTTGCCAAGACTAACCTTTGCAGATTGATGATAGTGGAGTCAGATTCTTCAACCTCATTTAAAACTCTTAATGGAGATGGGGCTGGGATTTTCTTGGGTCTGCATTCAAATTGTGGATTGTACTAAGAAATCTTCTACTTTTTTTGATAAACTAAATTTGTTTATGTTAGTATAGACTATAGAGGCTAKTAAACCTTGCTCATTTTGTCGCTCAGTTTGCAAAACAATCTCTCTTGGAAGTGGTTTGGTACAGCACACCACCTTTTTTTGCTGGATTTGGACTATGCATCTATTGTTGCTCCTCTTTTTTTTTTATGAATGATGTTCCTCCCTAATTATAATCTTGTTTCAGTCATCCAAAAACGACAAGGAAAATATAAAAAAAAAAAAAAAAACAAATCAATTGGAATCAACCAAAAAAATTAATGAAAAAAAAAAACTTGAAGAACCTTGAATGCCACCTCTAGCCTGAGTGCTATAATGTAATTTTCTCCAGTTCATCCATATATTTGGGAAAAAAATCCCATAATAAATACTCCAAATGTACACCTTCCCATTTCAAACGTGTCCTATTTCCACAATTTCCCCTTCATTAATCCTGTTAATTTATTGATACATTGAAGAATTCATTTCTAGATTGGATCAACAGAAAAAAATGCAAAATGAAGGTTTTAATAATTTAATTGATGGAACAAATTAAGGATTAAATGAAAAAATTAGCTTACAGATAAATGCCTTAAAAACAAAAGGTTTTAAAATAAGTAAGATTAAAATAGAGTATATGACATTTAAATTTAGCACTAATACGAGTGTAAATTAGGAAAACTTAGGATTGAAGACTAAGAGATAAGTCAATGTAACCATTTGTGGTACCTTGGTTCAATAATTCATAACAAGGGAGATACTGAAGAGGATGTCACCCAAATAATTAGGATGGGATGGGCAAAATGGAGGGGTGCATCTGGACTTTTATCTAATAGGCGAATACCACTTAGACTAAAAGGAAAATTCTATAAATAAAACAATTGTAAGGCAAGCTACCTTGTATGGAGCCAAAGGGTTGAGAAATCAAGAAACAACATATCTAGAAAATTGGTGTGGCAGAAATGCAAATGCTACGATGGATGAGTATAAAAAACTAAAAAGGATAGAATTAGGAATGAAGTCCTCCCTAGGAATCTAGGAGTAGGCCCAATAGGTGATAAAATGAGAGAAAATACACTAAGATGATTCTGCCACTTGCATAGAAGACCATCCATCACAGCACCAGTTAGAAGAAGTGATTTGTTACAAGTTGAGGGGGCTAAACGGGCTAGGACCAAAAGGGTCATATGATATCAAAGATATCTGTGATGTCCGAAAGGTATGATAACGGTAATAGTAGGTTTCCGGTATCATTAATTCATTTGGTAAAGAAGGAAGCATATACAACAAACACGGAGTTCTTTCATCTTTGTTTGTTAAATGTAGATCCATACAAGTTCAAGCAATCGTATCTTAGTACTAAGTAAATAGCAAAAGTATTCAGAGAAAGGCTTCAAAAAATTACAAAAAAAAAATCAAAGATAAACACCATTGTTCAATTCCCTCCTTATATATCCTCTTTATCATATTTCTCTTTATAAGCTATGTCTAAATGCCTCTGCTGTCCCGTTGACCTAGTAAAATGCGGTGAAGAATAACAACTACTGGTCATCGGAGAAAGAATCCCTGAGGAAACTCAGACAGCCCCATCAAATCTAACAAAACCCTAAAGAACAGTATTTCGGAACAAGTTTCAACAGGATCTAACAGAATACGAGCTTTCTTCCGATTCTCTTGAAACCGTTAGGATTAGGGCTTTCAGGGACAACATATTTTGCCAAATCACTCTACTTGCATRTAAAGCTATGTAGAGAGGCATATAGATAAAAGGAGAGAGAAATCCAAAGCGGAAAAGGAGAGAAGGGCGTGAGAGATCCATACCAGTTAGCGGCGATCACGAAAGGATGTAGTCACGCTGTTGGGTTGTACGAGAGAGAGGGCAAGAGAAGAGGAGTCGGAGAGAGGATGTTCCGACGGGCTCGGTCAACCACTATAACAGGATGGATTTGGCTTGCAATTGGATGGAATACAAGAGAGGAAGACCCACTGATTTCTATTCTTATATAAATGAAAAAACTGGCAACCTACTACACCGTTTGGGAAACTGGAAGGTTGAAAGCTTGTCATCTTTAGCTTACCACATATGCTGACTTGTAGCCTCGGTGTTTCCGGTGAATACTCCCTAATCCCAGGCATCAAATCCCCCCCCCCCCGGGATCAACAAATTGTGTATGGACAACTTTTATATTAGAAAATTTGAGGCATTATTATTTAGGCCCGGCATATGTTTGGGGCATATTCTTTCATTAGTGAAGTGTGGAATTTATGGAAATCAAATTTTGGAGAGAAAGAATTTAATCAATATAATAAAATACATTTACCAGAACAAAAAAAAGAAAGAAAGAGTTAAGGGTCTTTTTAGGGAATTCACTTGTTTAGTTAATATTTTCTGGCAAAAGAGTACATGAATAATAATGTCTCAAATTTTCTAAAAATAATACTTATTTGGGTAAATGCATGAACCCAAATAAATAACTTGCCGCCAAAAGAATGAGGCCTTATTAATATTGATTGAGCAAGATTCAATTATAGAGCTAATAAAGGACAGGGATGAAATTTGGCTAACCCAATTCATTTTCTGTAAACAAATGGATGGTTTGGACTTCGAGGCTTTAGAATGGGCATAGTTTGTCCTTCAACAAAACACAAGTGGGTTCTGAAGCTTTCTATTTGACTTGAGTAAGAGTAGCAAACAACCCAAAAAATCAGTTACGAGTTCAAGAGGAGTCCTTTGGTTCCCTCTTGAATTCCACATCCTCTATTTTATTTTTCAGGCTCAGTTTGGAAAGAGTGTAAATACAAATATGTAGAATGCAAAATCTTATATTTTGTACTATTTTGTATGTATTTGTATTGTACATGTTTGTATTTGTATTCCTTCCAAACTGAGCTTCAAGGAAAAGATTTAAGATTTTGGCCCAAACATTAGGGGTGAGCAAATGGGTAGGTTCTACCTGAAACCAAATGGAACTGACTTTGAATTGACCTTATCCAATCTATTATAGGGCAAGGTTTGGTTTCAAATTCTTAGAATCAACCCCCACCTAGGCTAGTTCTAGGGTCTAGGGGTTAATCCTATTTGAACTGTCCAATGACTTGGCCTCGGTAGAACCAACCTTGGTGGAACCTGCCTTGGAATTGAAGCCGTATTGAAATAAACCCCAAAATACTTTTGACAATGTAAAAATTTAAACCCCAAGCATTCATGATTACAAAAATCCATGGTCTCACTTGACCATTGAATTACAAGTGATTTGATTATTTGTTTTCATTTTAATATTTGAATGTGTACATTAAGTAATATAGAAGGTAATATTTACAAATTTTAAATTTAGGTTACAAATTTTGAACCATATAATAATAATCTACATATTAAATTATTCAATTTAATTAATAAAGATAATATAAGTTATAACCAACTTTCATAAGATAGATTATAATTTCAAAAACCTACAAAGTAGGTTCCAAGTTGTGCCATGAAACAAGACCA